CAAGGTGCCTTACAACAAGTAACAAGAAGATAGTAACAAGGTGCATCGCTACTAGTAGCAAGGACGCTACTAGTACTTGCATAATGCAAGAATCTGCGAGACTGGTCTCTCCAGGCTCGGCCACACTCAGGCTCCGTGCAGCTGCTCCCCACGCTGGTTCACGGAGGCCATGAACGCCGGCACCGTCATGACCTCCAACCTGTTCGCGCCAACTGCGTCATGACCTCCAACCTTCTCGTGACACGTCTCATCTCAATAAGCTGAGAACATGCGCCCCACGCCACGACCCAGTGAAAATCCCAGTCCCAGGCGTGGCATTAGCAGCTGCACAGGCTACAGCATTGCCTGCGTAGGTTCCTGACAAATTCAGCGTGAAAGAGGATTGATCTCAAAGGGCGCGCCTCCTTGGCTACCAGCAGGTTGGGTGGAAGTGAGCTCCCTGAGTTTCACAGAACTCAAACCTATGAGCCTTTTGACCTGAAAATCAGGCCCTGCCGCGTTTCGGCCTGCGTGAGGCAATCCCCGCCAAAGGGAACCCCGAAGCCACCCCTTTCGCAAAGACCAGGATGTCGGGGCACACCTGGACCACCCGACCGGTGACCGGCCTTGTTTCTAATAGCTTCTTGTTACTACTCCGGTCGCTCCGGAGACCGTTTCACGAGTTGCGGAGCGACCGGTCGCGTCGCGCCACCGCACCCCATCGTGGTCCACCGCGAACATGCGGCCCGTGCGGCCGAACCTGCGGGGAGGCAGAATCGACCGGTTTTTTGGGGGGTTCTATTGTTCTCCTTTTTGTTTTTGGCTTTTTTTTCGTGTTCTTTTTTGTTTCTTTTTTTCCAATCCTTCTCAAACTGATCTTGTTCTTTCGTATTCGCAAAGGATTCCTGGTTTTGAGGCACAAACGTTTCATGTTTTCCGTAGTTCCTCCCTTTCTGAAAAATGACCACGACAAAGCGGCATGAGTTGCAAAGCACTTGTCACTCACCCCACTGTCAGATTTCTCCGATTTGCTTGTTCAGACATGGCGTAAATGAAACGAGCACAGTGCAGTTTTCTTGGCTTGTGTCACTGGTCACTGGGGGGCCCAAACCCACTCTGCACTTCATCTGCAATGAAAAGTATCTCATGCCTTGCTGACACAACTCGACTCAACAAACTTTGGGAGGATCACAACTCAACTCCTGAAACCGAAAGCTGAAGAAATTGGTCGAACCATGAAAAGGACGAAGGGCCCAGCCGATCACAAAAGTCCCGGATGCCTTGCCTTAGAGCAAGGTCAGTTGTTTTAAAGGCCTTCGGCTTTCCAAGAAGTCAGATCCGAACAGAGTTCATGGCTTGAATAAGATGCAACCTATGCGCTGATAATGTTGGCAGTTGAGAATGCGAAGGCTATAGACTTTCCATAGAAGACTTCACAGACCACGGCCAATGGTCCGGTTCGATGGTCCCACCATCGAAAAAGTTGGCTTCAAGGCAAAGGTGAACAAACTAGAAGCTACTAGTAGCAAGGAGGCCATCGCTAATAGCTTGGAGGCCATAACTACCTGTAGCAGAAGCTACTAGTAGCAAGGTGCCTTACTACTGAAGTGGGGCCCTTAGAGAGTTGGGATTGGTGGAGCTGCCCACATCTGCCCAACATCATAATGTGGTCCTCTGGTCATGTTAGAGTTGTGCCCCGACCCCTCACTGCCAGGAGCAGCAAGTAGGTGATGCTAGATGCCATCCTAGCTGCCATGCTAGCTGATGCTCGGTGTGTTTCAACACTACAATCTACTAGCCATGGCCTCCAACCTACTACAGTAATTACACTAGCGATGGCCTCCAACCTACTAGCCATGGCCTCCAAAGCCTGAGCCGCAAACAGCAAGCCAGGCGCCGGTGGCACATAGCCCCCTTCGCCCAGTACCTTAAGCTCACAGGACAGCAAGCCAAACCCCACGACGAGCTCAGAGCCCAGCGGGTTCCAATACCACAGCAGCGGTCTCGCTCGGTGCCGTCTGCTGGAGCAACATCATCTGCGCACGAAAGATGGTCGCTGTGGTTCCATGATGCAAACATGAGCTGCAACAGATTCCGCAGCAGCGCCTCCAATTGCTCCACTGCCCAAGCTGCATGATCAGCTTCACTGCAAACAGTTTTTCAAGGTGCATCGCAACATGTACAAAAAAGGACATGATCCGCAAGCAGGCAAAAACCCAAGGGAAGAAAACCTAGTGCAAAAATCGTGTAAACCAGAGAGCTCCTCAAGACCTAAGCAAACCAGAGAGCTCCTCACCGTTCGGCTGCGACTCCCACCTCACCTCTGCTCACGGAGCGCAAAGAAGGGGTGCGGGGCGACAAAGATACCTCCATCGAAAGTATGGCGATGGAGAATTGGCCATGGCGTGGGGAAACCACGTACAGAAAACCGTGTTAATGTGCAGAGCATGATCAGTTCTTTGGTGCTGAGAAAGAACTACTGTTTACAATTGAGTACGGTGATTCACCTCGATATGTGTTTTTAAATTTTTTGAGATTTTTAAGCGACAAAGAAAGTGATCTGCAGCAACACGCTCCTTCTGTCTTACTTGGTGCGAAAGAGTTGCACCTGCAGCATGGGGTCCATATCCTGCACGGTACTTGGTGCCACTTGTTGTCATACCTGGCATCGCTAGTACAGTAGGTTGGAGGCCATCGCTATTAGGTTGGAGGCCATACTCAAAAGAAAAATATGGTTTAATAATTGTTTAATATTGTTTATATAACTAATTTGGAGGCCCTTGCTAGTTTGGCTCCACCGAATCTGAGTCGTGTCCACAAGCTGGAGCTGCTCATCGTGAGGAGTGTTCGACCATGGTAACCTCCCTGAAACCTCGGGTGACGCGAACGCCGAAAAGCAGCACCAAAGCTCATGCAGGGCTTGCGGGAAGTCTCTTTTCGAGAAATCGGGGCGGCCGGTGGCTGCACAGCGCTGCAGGTATTGAGGGAAAGACACAATGACGTTGGGTTTTTTGGTGGCATGCCTCAGTTCAATGTGTTCATGCATCCAACGTGTCCAACGTGTCCTGTCCTCCCGCTGTGTCTCAGCTGACACTCCTGTGGCGTTAGGAAAACTCGAATCCCAATATTTTGCCGAACGCCGCTCACAACAAAAACTTGGCTTGCTTTGCAACGCCAAGAAGCGTGCAGTATGATACAAGTGAGCTGACATTTGTTGCCTGATTACAGGAGCAACGGAAAAAAAGTTGGTGCAAAGGCAAATCGGCAAATCGAGTCGGGTGGAGGCCATCGCTAGTCGGGTGGAGGCCATCGCCATTAGGTTGGAGGCCATCGCTATTAGGTTGGAGGCCATCGCTACTATAGAAACAAAGAGAAAAGAAAGGATAAGAAAGGCCTTCGAAAGTCCGTAAGCTCACACGAGTCCCCTGGCTGTCTCGACTGCTTTGAGGAACAAATCCAAGGGCTCTTGTGGCTCTTGGCAATTGTCAGCGTGGTAGAGACCAATTGGCTCTGTCAATCGCTTTATTGGACCAAGATACAATGGGTACAGAATTGGACTTGCTAAAGCCTCGGTTGGTTGCTGTAAATGCCGGATTCTCTGCTTGTTGAATTCTCTTCGAGACTCGCGGAGATGAAGCTGATGCTGCCAAAGCTGGTAGGACTGGAAGCCCAGGTGGCACTGGTCTGTCAACCGGTGCACCTAGCAATGGCTTACCAGTTGGATGGCGCAGTCGACCTGTCTGCTGAGCCAGAATCTCCTTTTCCTTCCGTAATAATCTCAGAATCCTCATGTTTTCCTTAAAGTCGTCGGGATGTTGCCGGCCTTCGGTCGCAAGGGCTTCGATGTTCGCCCAAGTGTCCTGTGCGAAAATCCCCACCAATGCAGGCCTGCAAAACTTGAATTCCAATGGAAAGGACTTCAATTCTTCTCCACTGGTCAAGGCCCTTACTACATCCTTCACCTTTGGATCTGGCCGCGGACGTGCCAAGGAGCGCGGGTCTGGCCTGTCTGGCCGAAGCAGCTTCTGAGAAACAGCTTCTAAGCCGTCGCCAAACATAATTCCGGCACGACTGTGTTTCCTTGCGGAAGTTCTGGACACCACAAACTCCGCCGCAGCACGTGGACCTCCTGCAGAAAAGCCTAGGCCGTCCAAATCTTCAGGTCTTTTGAATTCGACCTTAAAGTGAAGAAATGTCGAAGGATGACGATAAATGTTGAGTACTTCTTCAACAAAGTCCGCTCTTCTTGACATGGAAGCATAGTGTAGGGCTGTGTTACCCACAATATCTGCTACCTGAAAGAGGTGAGGATAATGTACAGCATACTTCTTGGTCTCTCGGAGGTTCGCCTCAGTACAGTTCACATGCAGATCTCTGAGCCTGGCGGCATCCTCGCGATTGATGGGTGTCAAATCATGCCCGATTTGCGGAGCTATCATGCAGCGCTCCGACGCGAGCCAACGCGCTCATGCCTTAAGCCGGGAGCGCTTGAGCCCCATCTGCAGTGTTTTTGAAAGAGAGAGAGAGAGGGAGAGCTTTGAGGTACACAAATGCGAGAAGTGGTCACAAACCTCTGCCTGCCTTGTCTCCTCTTTTCTTACACGAAACAAATTTGTTTGGTACAGCTCTGGATATTTTTTTGGCGATTCCAATGGACAATCAAAAATGAAAATTGTGCTTTTCGTACCATCCAAATGGTCTTCCGCGCCTGGCCAGTTTCACCGCCGCCTCAACGGCTTCGGAGCCGGTGGTGACAAACAGGAAGCTCGTCAAACCACCGTCGCCCGGCATCACCTTCCTTCGCGGACGGCTTGGCCGTGAAATGTGCTGTGAACTTAACATCTCTTAACATCACATCCATTCAAAGACGTTTAAACAAAATTCCAAAAAATTGATGCGTGTTGTTCTGTCTTTTCTGTTGTTATTTTCATTGTTTCGTGTTTTCTTGTCTTAACATCACATCCATTTGCGGAAATGCATCTCACAGATCAACCAAATGCTTCCAGGCAGCTCCAACTTCTCCGTGAGTTTAAGCATCTGGCTGTGATAGGCAATATTCACCTGCAGCTGCACGCTAAGAAAAATTTAATTGTGTTTGCCACATTCCGTCTATGCCTGGGCGTGCCATAGCTTTCCAATCTGCTGGCGGACAGCTTCCGTCACGTGAGGATGGCAGTGGCCCAAGTTCGTGACTCCAATGCCTTCCAGCAAGGAAACTGAGCTTGCCCACCGCAGAAACTGAGCTGGAGCTTGAGAACCCATGCCTGTGGAGAAATCCAAGTACTTCTCCCCATCAGCTGTGTAGACCCAACTGCCTTCACCCCGCTCGAGAACCTCAGTGAGAGCAGTGAGTTCTCCAACCAAAGGCTAGAGCGGCTACAGCCAGTGCTTGCAGCATCCTACAACAGCATCCTACCCTGTGCAGCTACCCTACGCAGCGATCCCAAGTGGCCCAAAGCCACGAGATCCGGAGCCAAGCCACGAGATTTGAGAGCCGTCCAATGCCCGCACCAATGCGTTCTGCCCCTGGCGGGGCGGCCGCAGCCGCTCCTGAGGTGATGCACGCGTAGACTTCCACAAAGCTCTGAAGGTGTGGACGTTGTGGACAATGTCTTTACGAAAAACCAAACAACCAATCGACGCAACCTCACCTCCTCCTTACAGGATCGATATTCGTGGCGCTGATCAGTGCGCCCTGGTGTTTTTCGATGCCCGATTGACTACATTTCACCTTGCCCTACTCCTGCCAGTGGAAATGCCAGGCCCAGGGCACAGCAGCCAGCAAAACACACCACTTGCGGTCGTCGCGCGCCCACGGCCAAGCAGCACTGACCTGTCCGTCCTTCTACCCTGCCCCAGGGTTTTCCGAGTGTCTTTTCAATGGTCGAGACAGGAGTCCCAAACCCCTGACCTGATCTTCTGACCGTTTGAGTGGGGTGCCTTTTTGTGGAGCGCCACTCCAAAAGCATAAAGGTCAAGACCCGCGCTCTCTTCAAACTGCAAAGCACAACTGCAAACAAGAGCTGTCGCAGCTCCATTCCAGAACCTGGAACATGAGTCCACAGGATCGCGGCAGTATTGCTCATCTCGGTGAGAGTTGATGCGTTGTCCCATCTTGTCCCCCTATCACCCACCTTTCTTACAAGCTCCTGGCAAAGTGTCAGTGTTGGAGCTGTATGGCAACGAGTCTGATGATTCCAGCAATCGCCACAGAGGCCACAAGCCTACAGCATAATATGCGCTGTCCATCCAAATCACGACCCTGCTGCCAGTTTCGTCTGCCCAGGTCATGGCACTCAGAAAAGCTGTAACTCCGCCCCGCTCTATTGAGTGGGCTGGCATGGGCTGGCCCTGCCAGCGGTCCCGAGGCCATGCGAAGCCCATGCGAGGCTGACGCGCAAGCTCACGTCGCCAAGGCATTGTTGGGTTCAAGCATGAGCCATCTGTAAACAAATTGATCCAGTCAGTCAGCTGAGGGCCACTGTGTTGAAAATGAAAATGCGGTGTTTCCACTGAGTAAAACACGCGCCGATGGTCGAGGTCATCAGCTACCCCACACGCAAACCTGTCTGCAGGTGGTCATACCGAGTAATTCCTGCTCCGGTTTTTGCCTGTCAAGAACACGAGGTCACATTCCACCCAGCGCGGCGTAGGACATCGTGGTCAATCTGCGGCCGGCCTTCAAGATGCCAGTGTAGTTAGTTCTGCCAACACAGCATCCGCACGCCTAAGCTCTCATATTTGTGAGAGATGCGTCTGAACGCTGCTATGACGCTGGTGACTTGATAGTATCGCGGGTTCCACTTCGGGGAGTCACTCAATGCCACTCGTATGAAAGAAAAAATGGTTTAAACATGCCCCTTTGCCAAGAGGCACACGGCCACACCATGGAACGCTTTGGGCCAGAAGACCGCCACCAATACTCGCTGCTTAAGGCCCTGATCAACATCCAGACGCCGAAGCTTCGGCCAAAGCCCTTGTAAGGAGCGCAGGTGTGCAGCCGAACACCTACCCGTCTGGAGCATTGTAGCTGCGCTGTGCTTTGACTCCATCAGAAGTGGGCCAGCTCCTGCTGTCAATGTCCAAGCGCCACAACTGAACGATCTTGCCATACCACCGCCCCGTGTAGTAGGGATTGGACTTCTTCAACTCCGAAAATGTCAACGAAGCTCACCGACGCAACTGACGGGAAGTAGTGGTGATGGCACAGGTCAATGACCCCTCAATGTGTCAATGTGTCTCGCCAACGCAAGCATCGGAATAGGGATGCGTTCGAAGGCTGTTTGGGTATCTGTAATCCTGTAATCCACGCATGTGCCCTCCCGTCAACGCCAAAAGTTCAACCAGCCCTTGCAACAAGAAGGAAATTGCTAAGCTTTTTCTGCCAGGCTACAACTCAAATTAATGTCCCCTGCACTTTGACAGGCACGCTAGCAGCAACTTGGCCTTTGCCGAGGCGCAAATGACAAGCGGCCCAATTCAGCTGCATAGGCCATGGTTGGCCCTGCTCAACGGAATGCAAAATGTCCAAGACCAGCCTCTAGCTGACAACTCACCAAACAGCTCGGCCAAATGCGAGAGTGGGGGTTCTTCTTCCCCCCGCCGCTTGAACGCCGGCCAGTGCCCGCGCAGACCACCTCTCTGCAGGCACACCAATCTGCTAAACTGCTAAAGAAACTCCACCAATCTGCATCGCAGTGAACCTTCCTCTCCGCCTCCACGTCCTCGAGGTCCAGCACGGTCTGCACTCCTCAGCATCAATGCTGTGCGCCAGCTGTCCAAGTCCTCCTGACTTACCAACGCCGCTCCACACAACATTCATTTCAGGTGTGCCAGCAACGACGCCGCACGTAAGGGCTCTTCCTGAGTATAGGCCATAACTCTCTGCCCACCTTTGACCATCCAGGTGGCAATCAGTTCTCGAATCATCAGGCGCCCGAAAGAAGCACCACCGCCCAGGGAAGTCCCTGACAAGCAACTTCTCTTGCAATTTGCTCAGGCTGTGGTCTGCACCGGACTTGGACTGTAGTTGCAAGGTCCAAAATCTGCACACCCCTGCGCCTGAGGTCATCCCAGACCCTGGTGTCTGGCCAGAGCTGACAAAGTCTGGCCAGACCAAAGCTGGGTTGGTTCGTCTTGGCTGAATGGACGTGCAGTCCTGTCAGGCGCCAGGCGCTGAGGCTCAGACCAGTCTTTCTGCGCACACATGGGCATGGGCCCGCGGTGAGGCTCAGACCAGTCCTTCTGCGCACACATGGGCATGGGCCCAAAGCTTCCATAGCGTCAGCAATTGGAGTTCAAGATTCAAGACCATCTAACTCAAGCTGGTGCTCATCGTCAGCACCCCATGGTCCCCAGCACATGGTGATCTTGTCAATGAAAAACGAGTGCGCCTGCAAGGCCACGTGCCTTCAAACGCAAGGATTTGTGTCACAAGCCTTAGTGCAAGGGCCTCAGCTTTGTGAGTCACCGATGAGCTGCACCTGATTCAATTGTGGGACACATTCTAGTGGTGCATTTTCAATTGCCACGATTTTTGTGTCCTCATCAGCCAGCAAGATGAATTATATTCCCCCTATTCTCCTGGCTAACCCAGACTCCATAAACTGCAGTTCTTGCCACATCACGCTCCAAGTGGCCATCCAAGATGCACTGGACCTTTGTGAGCAGCTGTGTGCATCGCCAGTGGCTTGGATCATGCGAACCATCAACCTGAAGCCCTCCTACCGATCGATCGCCTACGGCATCGGGCAATGGCCGCTCTAACACTGAACCGCACCCTCAAGCTTCAGTAGAAAACGGTGTACCAGCTGGTAGGCCTTGAGCCAACACTAGCAGCCAGCAAAAAAAATATGAAAACCAGCTCTATGCCCACACTTAATTTCAGGCACTTATGTTGAGATTCTTGTGGTCAAAAAATGTCAAAAATGAGCGCCAATTTGTGAGCAAAGGCTTGTCCTTGCCCTATGGCACTATGGGTGATCAAAATAAACATGGTCAACTTTCCTCTTTTGATAGGTCTAGTTTGCGCCAGAAGGGATGCAAAGCTATTCTTTACAGGAGCCAATGAGGTCTCGTGAAACAATCAAACTGACCAGGTTCTGACTTCACCAAAAATCCGCACCTTTCGCTTCCAGACTTCTTAGGCATGTTGTATAGGCAAGGACGCTACTAGTCACAAGGTGCCTTACTACCAGTAACAAGAAGCTACTAGTAGCAAGGAAGCTTCCGGACTTCTTTGGCATGTGCAGTCATGCAGCATGGAGTATACAATAGTCTACAGTATACATCTCACCTTGATGTGAAGTGCGGCGCACTGCATGCAGCAAAGGTGGCCATGCAGCACCTAAACTTCGCATCGTCATGCACCAGGCCGCTAAACTCGCTCGCGTCTCAGTTCACTGGAACGACGGTCTCGGTCGAGACCGAGTGTTTGCCTCCAACCTAATAGCGATGAGTGTTTGTATTGCTGCAGTTTGAGTCTATTTGAGTTGCATGAGTCTTCGCGAGTCTTTCTTTGCGCTTCGGGCTCTGAAGACTTCCCAGTTCATGCTCAGTTTCTTCAAAACGCATTGGCTTCTCATTCAACAAAGAGGCTCTTGCAACTGGAGAAGGAAGAAAAGACCGTCTAACCGTCCTAACCCTTTTGTTCTGCCAAGGATTCTTGGCTTGGCGTGCGCTGACGCGTTCATCAGCTTGGTGAAACCATATTCGAAACGGTTTTGAATGAGAAATAATTCTGGAAATATCTGGAGAAGCTCCGCCATTTGGGGCTCAATTTTCGGCTGCCTTAGTCCTCGTCTTTCGATGGCTCTCTTTCCTCTTTACTCATTTTACTGAGCACTTCTCGTTGTTCACGAATGAAGCAGCTCATTGGGATGACACTCTTGCCTCCATTGAGTTCTCTGAGATTCAGTTCAAGTCGCCACAGGATTTCCCGCAGTTGCGAGGTCTTTTGCGCTTTCTCACCAAGCAGGTGCATCATCTTCTGAAGCTCCTGTAGCTTGGTATCCAACCGTCCCACACAACCTTGCTCTGCCTGGGAGTCTAAGGCTTCTAGCAGCTGCGAAGTTTGACAGCGTTCGGGGACCGAGGCTAGCTGCTGGAAGTTGGTTCCACTGAAGGACACACCCATGGATCCAATACTTCTCTCCATCGCCTGCAAATTCTGCTCCATTTCATGGATCAGTGCATCTACTCGCTGATATCGCTGATCCTCCTGCTTCCAAATTGCTTGCAATTCCTGGTGGATGTCTGCTGCCACATTGGTCTGTTCCTGTCGGCACGTTGCAAGCACTTCTGCAACTCGATCCAACGATCTTTCCAGAATATCCAAGCAATCATCCGAGACTGGGACCACTTGATCTCCCTGTTTCTGCTCAAAGCTTGGCATCTCCAAAGCATTGGACACAAAAGCTGCTCGATCTTGTTGTCGCTCTGCTGCCTCTTTGTTCCGCGCTTCGGTGGAAATCATCATCAATGAACCCTCTGCATAGTCCAAGGACTTGAGCATGGTCGTCTGAATGTGCCCCGTCACCCGGATGGCATCTGACAAGGTCAGTTCGACCTCTTGAGATTTTTCTTGGACAAAATCCGCGGTTTTCATCAATAAGTATTCTGCATTGGCTCGGGTCATTCCATCCGCTTCAAAGGCTCGCTTCAAAGATCTTGCTGTCACAATCTCATTGGGATGAGCTGGAAAGTCATCATCCTCCAGCTGGACAATCAAGGTGTATAGATTCACGAAGGTTCGGGTCTCTCGTGCTGTTGCTGCAGCATCTCGAATTTGCGCATATAACGTCAAGGGCGAGCCAGCCCGCGTTTTGACAAAGGCATAAGAATCAAAGACGATGCAATACAGCATGTTCAGCATGACTTGTTGCACCAGAATCTGGTATGTGAGTGTCCATGCATAAGACACTGCCTGAACTGGTTCAGAAAAATCCGCCACCATATCCATCGTCAAAGTGGTGGACCACAGCATGAAGAGGGATCCCAACATGGAGCTCCAGCCTTTGTGCTTGTGTCCTAGAAGGAAATGCCCAGCAAAAGCATAGCAGAGGAAAATAGCCAGAAACACGATAGCGAAGTGTGCCACATTCACTGCACAGTGATTGATCGTCTGCACCACAATATCAAGCCGAGGGTTAGCTTGAAACGATTTGAAGAACTTCAGCATGAGTATAAAAAAGTATCCAAAAAAGAACGCTCGGAGGAGCATGTGGAAGTCGTAGATCTCCCTTGCAACTATGAAAACATCGTTGATGCGCGTGTTCAGAAGAAATGGGTCGATGATCTCGGCCAAGGTGTCAAATGTCAAATAGGTCTGGTTTTGCAGCACCCGCGCATCCAACTCTGCTTGAGGAACCAGAGATATCACTTGCGGAAGCTCTATGGAAATCTTTAGGAACAAGTACAGCCACAGGGCAACATTGATGAATCCCATCAGGATCGCAGTCCAATCAACAATGTTCCAAAACTTAAAGTAATCCTTGATACCGTCAAGACCTCCCGCAATGGCTGGCAAGAGCTCTTTGGCCTCCTGGTGGGCCATGCGCAGAAGAATCAGCACAAAGAGAATATCCGGGATGACGTTGAACCAATCGCGATAAGGCTCTGCCATCCACGACTCATGATTGAACCAGAGTTGCAAATAGCCACTTGTCTGAGAGTCCCACTGCAACCGCTCAAAGGTAAGCATGTTGTTGTGCCCATTGTAAAGGATCGTTTGGTACTCCACCAGTGAGACACGATTGTCGAAGTAGTACGATCTGGTGAGATTATCAATGGTGTTCTCATGGATACTCAAAAGCAAGTGGTAGGGAAGGACAATGTCAACCTCTGTCAAGCCTCCATATCGATCACATTCGCCAGTATAAGAATTGTAGAGAGATGCCTGCTCCGGACTGACCATGCAGGGTCCTGTTTGGTTGTAGAGCTCTTTGTGTAGCCGGGACCCTCCAATCATCTGATTTTGAATCGCCACTCGCCCTGGTACAGGATCTGTGGCCAAGTTTTGTCGATAATACTTTCGAAGCCACGTGCTGTTGGTCCATTCCATGTGTGCCTTCGAACCATACCTTTCACCTCTAATGGCAGGCTTCCACAAACTGTCCAGGTTGTGGTAGAGTGTATTTCGCATTCTCCATGAATTTGCGACATCAATGTGGGAGATTGCAAAGTAAAAATAGGACGCCAAAAGAATCAACACCGACGGCATCGAGTAGAGAGCGCTTGTTGTCTCATATTCTTCATGAAGCCATTCGATCAAGTCTGAACGATCGCACTCATTCTGTTTCATCTCCTTTGCTCCTGGAAAATGTCTTTACAAGGTGAAAACAAGAAAATGAGATGCATTCCTTTTTGGTTCATGTCTTTTCTTCTGAAACAAAAAGCGACCTTTAAAGATCCTTCTGGTTTTTTCTGCTGTCTGTTTCATCTCGTTTGCTCCTTTGTTCAAGGATTCCTTCAAGTAGTTGAAGGCAACTTTTCCAGTTGTCAAAGCCTTGAGGAATTCTTCAGCTGAAATGGTTCCACTGTTGTCTTTGTCTGCGTCCTCACACAGATCTTTCAAATAGGACCGTGAGATCTTGACATTCTGAATCTGGAGCAGGGAGAAGCATTCACTTCTGGTAATGTAGCCCTTCTCACTGGGATCAAGTATGTCGAACAATGATTGCACATCTGACAGGGCAATCGAGTGAAGATTCCCAGATGAGATTTTATCCCAAATCTTCAGCTTTTGAAGAAGGATCTTGGTTTCCACCGTCAAGACCGGAACGGCCGCATCATCCACGACCGCCATGAACCCCGAACCCAGCTGAACCCCCCACAAAGCGTGAAGGCTGAGGTTCAGGACGCTTAAGCCACCATTGGAGAGGAAAAGGATGATAAGCAAGTTCTCTTTATCAGGAATGCTATGGCTCATTCACTAGCATGTTAAATGCAAGTCTCCATTTTCGTCTTCTGCGCTCACAGAAAATCGATCATGCGCTTCCGCCTGCACATGGTCATTGGCATATTATCTACTTTCGTGAACTTCATCCATGATGCATGTTCACAAGAACTACATAACCTGATTCCAAAATCTGGCAAACCAAGGAAAAACAAGCTCCCAAAGCCGTTGCCTTCGAAGATTTGGACACAGTGATACCATAAACTCGTGGGCCCTGCCAGTTCTTGGATGTGAGAAGCCACTGCAAGCATGTCAAGTAGGAGCAAGGACGCTACTAGTAACAAAGTGCACCGCTACTAGGAGCAAGGACGCTACTAGGGGCTCCTGGCATCGCTACTAGGAGCAAGGACGCTACTTGGGGCTCCTGGCATCGCTACCAGGAGCAAGGACGCTACTAGGGGCTCCTGGTATCGCTACTAGGAGCAAGAAGCCTACTAGGGGCTCCTGGCCTTACTACTAGGAGCAAGGACGCTACTAGTAGCAAAGGGCATTACTCCTAGGAGCAAGGGCGCTACTAGTAGCAAAGGGCATTCCTACTAGTATGGGCAATCCACTGACGCACAGCTCTCAAGCTGACCAAAGGACCTTGTGCTTCCTTCTGCAGAAGGCGCATCCTCAGTAGGCAAGTGTCACTCCAAAATGCGGGCCATCATGGAAACCAAGTGTAGCTCGATATCATCAGGCTGCTGCATAGCAGGGCCGCCAAACTTGTCCTGCAAGTTCTCTGACCGGAGATGTCTTCAAAAAAACAAAGAGAGAAAACCTCCTACCCTTCATGCTACTAGGAACAAGTTAAGTGCATCACTACTAGTAGCTTCTTGTTACTAGTAATGCCCTTTGCTACTAGTAGCGTCCTTGCTCTTAGTAGTAAGGCCAGGAGCCCCTAGTAACGATGCCCTTTGCTCCTAGTAGTAATGCTTCAGAAAGACGCTGAACGCCCAAACGGCGATGGGCGGTCCCGTGCACCAGGTGGTGGCGGCTCCTGCGAACCCGCGGCTTCCCCTCGGGGACCATAGGGTACCCCACCCTGCACGTGTGCGCTTCTTGCTCCGAGTAGCGAGGCCAGGAGCCCCTAGCAGCGTCCTTGCTACTAGTATATCGCAATTAATAATCATACAGTATATTCCATGGATCCTCTGAATGGTCCTCATCGTAGATGCTCTTGAACTCTTCGGGGTCGTCATCCAGGTCATCGTCTTGATCATTGCCTCGCAAGAACGTTCTTTTTCTAACAACATCAACAAGAACATTCTTGTCTCTCCAGGTCACCTTTTCTAACAACAAAACCCACACATTCCCATCACTACTAAGAGCAAGGGCGCTACTAGGAACAAGTGCATCGCTACTAGTAACAAGTGCCTTACTAGTAGTAACAAGAAGC